ACAGATTTCGAAGGAAGTAAGACACAGAGAGGTTGCACAACTTGCCCAGGGACACACAGCAGAACGGCCATGCCAGGACTCACACCAATATCTTATGATGCCAAGAGCAGACTTCCTTTTCACTACATCAAAACAGCCTCCCCATCAGAATGTGCTGGTGAACAGTCCACGTGTACAGCAGGGTGATAACACAGAACCTAGGGACCTTTTGCTTCACGTGAGGCAGAGAACTGTGGAAATCACAGCTTCTGCTACAAGGTCTGACTTTGAGCTGTGGGTCTCTTACTAGTGGAGAAATAGCACAGCAACAAGGTCAGCAAGAATCTAAGGGGATGGGTTAGGTTAATAGTGCTTTGAGATTTTACTCTCACCTCGTAAAACTATGGCTCCTTCTACCCTGACCATGTGTGTATCTAGTTAGAACAGAGGTTCTCTGTTATGTTCACCAGTGAATCATAGATAACTCTCAATTATCTTGGGATCCATCCATTCACTCAACTATTCATTCACCAAACATTTCTTGAACATCTCCCATTGGTTGGGTGCTATGCTAGCATCTGGGATGCAACAATGGAAACCAGACCCAACACCCAACATGAACACATCAGTGTGTGCGTGTGTGCGTGTGTGCGTGTGTGCGTGTGTGTGTGTTGGGGGATACCAAACATAAACAAGGGACCACACAGATAAAATAATACAGGTTTGAAAAATGTCATGAATGAGAGACCACTGATGAGGGGATATTTAATGTGTGGAAAATGACCATGTACCCCTCCTATACCTATCATCTAGACTCGGGGGTAGTACCCTGTTCAGCACTTGCCTATCACAGAAATAACAAACTTCTTTAAGAATAAATAATGAGGGGTGCCTGGGTGGCCCAGATGGTGAAGCGTCTGCCTTCAGCTCAGGTCATGGTCCCAGGGTCCTGAGATCAAGCCCCACATCTGGGCTCCCTGCTCCGCGGGAAGCCTGCTTCTCCCTCTCCCTCTGCCTCTCCCCCTCCTCATGCTCCCTCTCTCTCTCTCTGTATCTCTGTGTCTCAAATGAATAAATAAAATCTTTTTAAAAAATCCTTAAAAAAAGAATAAATAATGAATTATCAAAAGGAGGAAAACAATCTTCCTCATACTAGGACTGAAACTGTGGCAAGCAGGGGGCCAGCCTCAAGTGCCACTTGGCATTAGTAAGCCACGTGCAGTTGGCTAGCAGTCTGCGTTAGCCCCTGCTGGCAATTCTGGTGTTTAAATACAGTTTTCACCAGTAAGAGTTCATCTGGAGCAAAGACAAGGGCTGGGCCTTCCGGGAAGTGGTCCCTGTTTACTAAGCTTCCACCGGCCGGCCTGGATGAATCAGGCCATTTTGAGATATTTTCTTTCCACAGGAAAGTCATAAAATGTGCTCTTTCCAACTGCTAACTGCTTTTATGCTTTTAAGTACACAGTTCTCCTGGGTACACATCTCCATTTTTTTGTGTCCAGATGTGCTCTTAATTTAAACGCCGTCCATGGGCCTTAAAGCGAGAAATGTCTAAATCTTCCCATTGTCCAACCCACTGTGGGTCCCAGGGCCCTCTAAGGAGAAAGGAAAGGATGCAAGAACTCCTCCTGGCCCAGCTCCCGGGCATCGTGCTCCCACCTGTACCAATGTGCCTCCTGCACTAATATGCTTTCCTCATGCCAAGGTATGCATTTGCTTCGGGTTTTTATTCTGTAGCCCGGAATGTGTGTTATCTCTAAAACCCCACTGGGGAAAAACCAATGTCTGCCTCGTAGTATCTAGCCCCCCGTGCCATTCAGCTGGAAAGTCTGATCTAGCCATGGGGTGAGTTTGACCAGCTCTTTGGTTAAGCTGGAGCCTCCCGGTCATGGTCACGTTTCCACCTGACCTTCTATTATTTTAGGTTTATAAGGATACAAAGAACTTCTGGCTCTGTTTCCTAAAGAGAATGGCCAAATTCATTCAAGCAATGTTTTCTCTTGGATTGTGCTTCCCCTGTCATTTCCTGCAAAAGCCTCGTTTAAATGATAGGGATTCTTGACATCAACCCAGCATTTACTGGCTGCCATTGGAGGGCACTGGGCCAGGTACAGAGGTGTGGAGGGGGAAGGTGGAAGATGGAGGGCTGAGGGGGGGGAGAGATCATGAAAAGAAAGAGAAGTTACTACTTTCAAGGGTTCATAATTTAGCAGGAAGCATAACCCCATACCATTAACCATAAAGCAAGATGAAAAACCGAGCAGACCGCACCCAAGTAAAGCAAACCAATCTAGGTGTGTGGAGACTTCACCTCACTTTGAAGACACTTGACAGTTACTTCTTTCCCTGGTGTGGGTAAGACCAAGAAACTGAAAAGCACTGTACACCTATTATGTTTATGTATGTTCACTGTTTCTAAACATAGTGGTTTTCAAACCGCTCTTTAGAACCCAAGGTGGCCTGAAACTAACCCTTCACACCTCTGCCAAGAAAACGGGTCCAGTGGGTAGGAAAGGAATCTGTCCCATCTATAGCTTACTTGATGCAAATATCCTGTTATTTAGAAAAACAGCAACAACAACTGGGAAACGATTTTAACCCAAGACATGGCCTTGGAGCTTGGTTTCTTTACCTTCGTGGTTGCAGGGATGAAATAATGTTGGAATTTTTGTGGCCTGGTTAGGAAACAGCGATCAGAAATCTTGCAGGATTCGAGTGTGTCCCTGGCTTAAGAATGTAGCAGATGTGAAGTCAAAAGGAACATTTGCTTGCATGCAGCGTTGCCCAGGCTGCTCCGAGAAACAGCCTCTTTCTCGGGACACCTTGAGGGCGGACTGAATTCAAGGAAGATGACTTTTTTTTCCTGGTAGTACTCCAGGAACTGGAGCCTTTCAAAACTACATGACATCATCTTTGGCCTCGAGAATTCTGAATTAAGCAAGAGGCTTTGTCCATCCAGAGTACTAGGGTTAGATTCAGAGGATGTCTTGAAATGATGTCAAAGCCAGAATCTCGTGTCAAAGCCTTCCAAGCAAGAAGGCATGTGACTTCTTCCTCCAGATGAGAAATAATGGCCCTGTCTCACCCGTGGGGAGAGACGGACCTGCTAACTGGCATTCTTAGAAGGCACCGCTTGCATGGTCCTCTGCCTCTAGAATAAGATTTTTTTCAAGACCCATTTCCCTACTCTACCTTCTCTCCAAATATTGCCTCTGGCTCACCATCACATGGTTAGCCAAATGGAAATCACTTTAGCAAACCACCCTCCACACGCTGCATCCTGGTAATACCCCAAGCTACTCTTCAAGCTTTAATTGCTTCACCAGACACTGAAGTGAAGACCTCTTTTGCTCATCAGCACAGCTTTACCACTCTAAAATGTTTGGGAGGAGAAGTTGGATATACGATTGTAAAGGAAGGATCCTCACTGCCAACCAATTAAAATGCCAGGATATTGTTTTTTAGGGAATCAAATCCATTCAGTACATTTGCGATCTCTAAACCTAAGGATGCAGAGACACAAAATTCATTTCCAGCAAAGGCAGAGGAGGCCAAGAGAACTGAATACAGCCATTAGTCAAATGCTTATAAAGGCTTAAAATAAAACTTCTGCTCCTCTTTTTCTTTAAATTCAATTTGAGGGTTGTGAAGGACTGCAATGAAATAATCCATAATCCGCAATTCAAACCAGAAGGTTTGGAATAGTTTATAACCACAAACAAAAACAAGCCAATTAAGATGGCCTCTTTTTATAACCAGAAGGAATTCCAGAGAGACGTCTTTATCCAATCACAAGTTAACAGCGAAGAGATACATCTACAAATTTGAAACTTGTAATTTTTTACTATTACTGAATGTTTACATCACGCAGACTTCTTGACCCATCTCCTAAGTTCACGCATTTTTCTCAAGAATCAGATTAAATCTCAGCTAGTAGTTAGTGTGTCGGGTAAGGCTCAGGGTAGGTACAAAGAATCGACTGAAAGATGCTACTAACGAAGATAGGCTATTAGAAGCTTTTCCCAAAATATCACCCAAAATAGGGAGAAAGCACTGTAGATACAGAAGACACCGCTGGGGGTGGAAGGCACAAAGAATGGTCATTTATGCATCTCTTCCCTTCCAATGTTGCTATGGAGGTCATGACAGCTGTGTGCAAAAATCTCAGCAAGTCAGAATCTGAAGAAGTCCACGGGGACCCCTCGCAACTCATTTCACCTCACTGTGCCTCAGTCTCCTCACTTGTAAAATGAGGGTATGGACTGGAGCAGGGCGAGTATCTTTCTCTGCACCAAGGCCAATTTGCAAAACATAAAAAGGTTCAGACGGTACTCTTTCCCTCATTCAAAATGAAAATGGCTTATCGGGTCCCGACTTAGCTGGATTACCGCTTTATCAAATGGAAAAACCTTCGCTGGAAACTTGGTGCTGCTTTGGAGCCAAAGAAATGGTAATATTCTGGCAGGCTTCTTTAGTAATAGCATGAAGACAACTTTCTATTCTTGGATGCTTGACTTAGATGTGGCCACATCGTGAAGCGAGGAGCCCACAAGGGCCAGTAGGTGAAGTGGGAAGAGTCACTGTTACCACTAGCTTTGAATTAACATCACCCAGCGTGCTTGTCAAAAAGGATTCTTGGGTTCCTAGGCCCAGGCCCACGGCAGTTAACGGCTCAGTGTGGAGGTCTAGACAGCTCCCTATACTTTCAAGTTCCCCTCTGCAAATCTGAGCCCTAGTTCTCGAGTGGCCTTTGGGAGCCACGGATCTAGAAGATTCTAAGATCGCCTCTGAGCTCTAATGACAAGTCTACACTTGCTTCTGCCACCAGATAATCTCACAGATGAATGTCTTTCAATAACACAGCGATGACAACTTAAGTCTTCAGACGGGATCTTATTCTGGACTGACTTCAAAACTGAATCCTCACTGAACATCTCATTCCGTTTATTGGTCAATATATACCAAGAGAAAAATGTATTCTGTACTTGGGGGATTCAAAAGCTTCAACATAGCATGTGAGTAGCCAATTGCAGTGCCTGCAGGGACAGCAAGGTAGTATGAAGCATTAAAAAAATAAAAAGGAAAGGAAGGAGAGAAGAGAGGGAGCACGGGAGGAGGGAAGGAAAAATCCTACCAACCGGCTTCATCTAGTTTTTGACCCCGGATGCAGATTTTATAGTTCACAGGGCTAAGTAGATTTGCTGTCTCAGAGGAGATGAAAAACTTGGGGGTGAAGAATGGCAGGGGCCCAAAGAACAATGAGGGAGTTGATGGGTAAATAGAGAGAGAAGGAGGGAAGGAGCGATTCCAGAGGTTGCCAGTCCTCTTTGTGGCTTGGCTGAAGACTTGCAGCTCATACACAGCCAGATGGGAAGCAGATGCTGATCCGGTCTCCCAGATGCCCCGCCCCCCACCCCAGCCCCTCTCTACGTGACTCCACCTACACACACGGTGAATGCAGAATGAGGGGCAGAACATAACACTTAGCTTGTTATCAATCTTCTCTGCGTCGGTCCCCTTCCCCCCCGCCCCCAGCCAGCCTACAGGATAAGTCCAGGGGCTACCATCCGAAAGCCTTTCTCACAGGGCTCCATCCTCTCTGGACTCGCCTTCAAGGTCACTCATCCCAGCCACCTGGTCACCGGACTTCACATTACTCAAACTCTCCATGTCCAACATCATTCTACCTCCACATTTTATTTCTCCATCTGGCTTTCTCTTCCTGGAAGGCTGTGATAATTCATATCTAAATCCCATTGATTCTCCAAAATTCTGCTCAGATGGCATGAGAGCCACAAGTCTTCCTTCCCTCATTTCTAAAATGGAACAGTACTATACCTGAACAGGGAACGGATCTTTTTCCACTTTGTCTCTTAATCATAACCACTGCCTCTCCTGGATGGCAAGCAACTAGAACCACTGGCCTATGTGTTCCGCTGATTGGCTGATTGCGCAGTCATTTGTTATTTCGCTCATTCAACAAAAGAAGAATGGCCTGAAACTTATCAGAAGTTTCTTTTGTATATTCTACACCCACTTGCTGTTCCATGGGGAAAACAGTGAAGATGGAGAAGATACAAAAGCAGGAAAAACAGACTCTGAAATTTGTTGGCACTCTCTATCAGTAAACTTGTAAAATGAGGGTATGTTTCTGGGTTTAAAAAGACATTTCATAATATTGTGCAGTATCACAGAACTTATCCGCTGTTCCTACAAATGTGTATTCCTGTTCTTAACATCGAGCATTAGCCTTAAAAATCTAGGCTATGGGGCTGACTCCTAAATCCATGAGGCTAGCTCTGAATAAGTTAACTTTTTCACATGGACAAAAGCTATAATTAGCTTAAGATTTTGCAAAACTATGAGCCACCATGGCAAGGAGTCAATCTCTTTGTCCTATCAACAGATCCAACCAGGTGAAAAATTTTATTATTTATATTTACAGAGGGTGTTTGGTAAAACAAATATTTAAGTAAATTTATGTCTATGAAACACACATTTTATAATACTTCATATGAGCATCATATTGCTTTATAAACAGGTACATATATCCCAGGTCTTAAACATTTTACACACACATTTACTCCCATCTTAGAATCCTGAGTCAGAATTCATGGCAGGTATCTCTACAGTAAATACCAGATTATCCGAATCACATCATGCTTGCCATCTTTCCCATTCCAAAACCCTGACATCAAACCATTATATTAGTTTGTGGAACAATATGCTATATCTGGCAAGAAACCCTGGTTATTATGGTGGGACTAAAAATGAATTTCATTTTCTTGACTCTGTGTCTCTTACTGTCATTTTACTATGATACAGAGATATCCCAGGTTACTTCATAAGGAAAGAAAAAAAAATCTTATTCAATTGCAGAAGAAACTGCACAACTTAATCTGATCATTGTGTGGAGGAGAAAATATTTCCAATGACGACATCTTCCTATGTCAATTGATTTTATTACAGATTTCATCTCTGTGTGCTATATTAATACAGCTCTTTCTTCTTCTTTCAAGATTTTAATCTTAGTTTGTTGCTCTAACGTTTTATTGGTTCAAAATACATGCTGTAAAATCCGTGGCCATCAAATTTTCCTGTGGGCTAAAAATAACCCATTCCTGTCAGTTAGAATTAGCTGATAAAGAGTGTCAGAGCCTGTTCTGAATAAGTTTGATAACTTCCTGTTTATGCGGCACTGACCCTTGTCTAATAAAGGTTCTTTGCCCTAGAATAAGAGAAGATTCTGCTGCGTTCTATTCCTTAATGGCCAATACTGATTACTTTTGAAAGCCTTTAATACATTTCCCATATTAGACATGAACAGATGTCAGGTATGTTGCCAAGGGAAATTTCTTTTATGCAATCTTGGCTTGTTGTACAATAATAGCCCTTTCTCAACATGGGAAAAAATTACAGACCCAACTAATTTCCCTGACAGGGGAGAGTTACATATGTTTTCCACTTGTAGTTTTTACGACAAGTTTACAATTTTGCCAAACCTGGAACTAATTGGGATCATTTCCAAAAGCGGCCCAATAAACCCCCAAAAGTGTGGAGCCATTTGAGAAGGCAGTCAGGGACGGTTAGCTTTTGTATTTTCTCCATTTTGGTCAGAGAAGGGGTGGGGGAGTTAGATTGCAAAATTATTTCATTTAAGTTGCTTAAACACTTACTGTTTCATATCCTCCCAGTTTTTGAGCAGCTTGAAACATAGTCCAAAGGTTAACTGTTAGAGGGACAATAAGTATTTAGATAAGCATTGCATTAACATACTTCCAAGAAATGTCAATTAAAACATTTTGTTTTGTTTTCAATGAGAAAGAGAGAAAAAAAAAAAAAAAAACAACAACCAAAAACCAAAACACTAGTATCCCAGAGAGCTAAGTTCTTAGGAAACAATTTGCCAAAGGGCATTCAACAACAGGATATATTATGACCACTTAAAATATTTCTTAAGAAACAGTCACAAATACGGAAATGGTTCTACTTTGGGGATAAAGGACAACACAGTTTTAATCCTGTTGCCATCAGCAGACCCAGGGAAGCCCAATTACAGCGTCCTTGGGGAAAAGAGTGAAATTTCAAAATTAGGGTTGGTCTTGTTCAACCCTTAGAAAGAAGCCATTGATTAAAGGGTACTATATCATGCTTCCTTCAGATAAGAACTTATCATAATCAATAAACACCAGCCACTGTAATCCATGATCACCTTTTTAATAGAATGTCTGATGGCAGCACTATATTAAGAACTCATACCGTATTTCACTAACACATGGTGCCTTGCAATGAGTAGGAAGACACATTATTTTACCCTTGAAGTCTCGGTGACATAACAGATCAAAGGGAAGGAAGAACTCATTCACAGAAGAATCGAGTCCTGAGTCCACTTAGTCCCCTAAGTTGCCTGTGTGATGTTTCGAGTATATACTCTTCTAGAACAGATTTCTCTTTGCAGGGCTTACATACGTTCATTCTGTTAAACAACTATGCCAAATTGCTAGCAACCCTGTTCATTTGTCCCAAACACCATGGAATGGGACTGCTATGGATCTGACTCTTTTACAGGAGGGGGAAAATTGAATTTCAAGTAATTCCTTGGTAAGGGAAATGAAGAATAAAATTAAAATTAAAAAAAAAAGGCTCTTTGACACAACACGTTGGAAAAGCCTCATTGAACCTTGCACTATTTCAAAGCTATCAAGAACCCTGCCTCGGCCCTGATTTAATCTGAACCAATGCATAATGCAACAAAGCTGTTCATAGTACATTAATTTTACTTCTATTTCAAGCAACCAGTTTTCAGACAAACATTGTAATCATTCGTAGTTATATAAGTTTATAATGGCTGCGAGTGTTCTCTTGCAATCAGTGCCAATTGCTATTAGGTATGTAAATTGTTATGTAAAACATACAGGTTTGACATTCTTCATCAAAATGACACATGGTTTTAATCTAGGAAGATACGTTTGGAGAAAATACAATTTCAAGCCAGGGGCTCATTGCTCTGTGTGCTACAAAATCCAGACAGAGGCAAAATATATATATTCAGTTGTGAAATCAGGACTGGATCTGGGTTTCTTCTCTTTTTTCTATGGAATTCTGCTCAGCTGCGAGTTTCCTTTTCTACTTAAAAATGTATTATGATGCTTAAATGTAATCCAAAATTGGGCTTTCGGTTCAAATCTGGGTACTTCATGTTTCCTCTGAAGTCAGGTTTTTGTTATCTCTTAACAAATTTGGGGCTTAGGAAATACGTTTTCTCTTTCTGGTTGTTTTGTCCACCTTTCAATGTCCTCTTTAAAGCTGCTTTTTTGCAGGCAACATCTGGGCCTGATAAAGCGACGTCATATTATTATCTCAGAAGAAAGGCGTTACAGACACTCAAAATTGACAAAACAGAAAATGAGAAACTTTCAACATGTCTATTTCCAGTCATAATCAGTGGATTCAAGCCTATAAATATCTCACTGCAACTGCCCCAGAAGGGAACAGCGTAGCGGAAAGGGGCAGGGAGAAAAATTCCTGGGCTGGATGATTTGTAGATTTAGTATAAACAGAGAGAGCATCATCCCCAGATTAGGATTGCAACATAACCCTGAGTTAAAATTTTTTCCCAATTTAAAGAATAGGAGCAGTTTTGATCTTTCAGAAATGAAAACAAGCATACTTACTCTGTTTAAAACCTAAATAGGGTATTCGTTCTATCGGCGTCTTCCTCTCTTTCATGTATTTATAAAGTGCCACCAGGAAAGCCTGCTCATCTGCCCTGCACTCTTCACCGATGGCAACCTTTGGTTTCTCTTCATTGGAGACTTTTTTACAGTTATTATGGTTATTCTTCGGCTTGGACAAGGCTGACCTGGCCTCACATTTCACCTGGAAAAGGGGGGAAAATATGCCACATCAAATCAAGTACCGCCTTGGAACGCTCAACAAAGACACAGCCGTGACACTTCTCACAGTGCGGGAGGGGTTAGCCAGTAAATTAACCTTGCCCTCAAGGAGCTTTTTGGAGGCAACACTGAATATGAATTGTCTCAGACCAGTGGGTGGTAACTTTCCGTAAAGGGCCGGGTAGTAAATATTGCAGGCTTTGGGGCCAGATCGGCTCGGTTGCAACTACTCAACTAGCACAGAAGAGGTCACAGACATATAAGCGAATGGGTACGGCTGTGTTCCAATAAAACTTTATTTATAGAAACAGGTGGTGAGGGGACCATGGTTTGCCAAACTCTTCCAGCCTTAGAGTCCTTACAAGTACGTTGATAGGAAACCAGAAACAGTGTCCGCATCTGGTGGGAGTGGGACCATTCTTTTGCCTCTTTACACACTTTTATTTTCCCAAGGGGCACCATCTGTTAATGTCATTGAACAAAGCCCTGTCTTCTTAGTAAATAGTCCCGTATTTCACACTTTGAATCAACATGAAAGAAAGTTTACTTCTTCATAGTAAACTTCTCTTGTTGCTACTATTTCCAGCCACCTGAAAAAAACATGTCAATGCCGCCAGATGTTGGCATCAGGAACACCAGCAAGGTGTGTTCTGTCTCTCACTTGAGGGGGATGCCCAGATACACCCTCAGCAGGAAACAAAAGAAACCACTCTAATGGCTTTTTGGTCAGCTCTGAGCATGTAATAGGAGATATTAACTTGCCACAAAGGAAAGAGTAGAGGTCAGTTAAAAACCGAAGATGAGTAAATGGAAAGCGCCATATTTAAAAATTAATGGCAGCCAACGTGCCAGATGTTGTTCCTTCCACAGTCTAGGTGAATATGGAACTCAGCAAACTGAGTGGCTAACCTAATGTTCCCTGCTCACTGCCATGTTCTACAAGAAGCCTTTGATGGTTGTTAAATATAACGCTAAGTTGCTGAGCTATTTTAATTATAAAAGGGGGAAGTACAAAGGGTCAGACTTTGAGTTCAAGTGCGCCCATGGGGAATGTGTACATTCCGATATTCTTTACATCTCTATATCTAACATCGAAGAGAAGAGGGCAAGTGCTGGGGAAATGTTATGAATAAAAATGTCCCACATATTCGACATTGTTTTCCATTTCAGATTTTTGACCCCTCTTTTTCTTTCCCTTCAGCGTCTCCTTCTCAGGCCTTAAGAATATAAAAGGCTATGCTTATTTATAAAAGGGAACTGTATCCTACTGCCAGGGCTTTCTTTAACTTATTCTCTCAAGTGAACATGTGAGGTTAATATCTTTAGACTGGTTCTGGAAAAAATAAAACTTCCTGTACAATCATTCAACTGGGCCTCTAGATAAGATTTTAATTTTTAAGGGGCTGTGGAAATGGGACTAAAACATTTTTCCATGTAGAATTTTTACTTACAATATTTTCGAACTTTAGCACTTTGTCACATTGCATTAAGGAGAACATCCTGTGAAACTTTATGTCGTCATCATTTCTCACTGTCAAATTTTAGACTGAGTCTCAAGTTCTGATGAAATCTCTAACTTAATGGCTTTTTGAAACCAGAAAATCATTCCAGTTTTAATCTGTATTGCCCCTGGCCTTGCATGAGTGCTTACGATGTAGCCAGACTCCGTTCTAAGCACTTTTCAAGGTATTATCTCATTTTATGTCCACAACCCTAGTGAGGCTCGTGATTATTCTTGCGTTAGAGATGAGGAAACTAAGGCACAGAGAAGATGAGTGACGGCCACAGGGTCATGTCCAAGTTAGTAAGCGGTGAGCTTGGGACCTGAACCCAGGTAGTCTCATTCCAGGGCTCGTGCGGTACTAAACACTATAATTTACCGACACTCATAAAAAAACAGAATCAATAGTCAAAACATACTTCCAATTAAAAGCATACCTTATTACTAGGCATCACAAAACCTACGGCTTAGAAACGTGATCTATCAAATGAGGAATACAAGATAAAACTAGGTGGTTTCCAAAGTATAAAAGGGCTCCATTCCTTCTATTGTATATTGAGCAAAGGGAAGGAAACCAGTATCAACTGAGCCCCCACAATGAGCTGGATACAGTGCTGTGGGCTTCTCATAGTCCACCAAATGTTCATAACAACCATCAAAGGGAGGCCTCTAGCTCCATTTTACAGTTGAGGAAAATGAAGCTTGGTGAGGTTATATATTTTGTTAGTCGGCTCATGGGGGCAGAACTCTGGGTTTAGACTCAGGTCTGCCTCACTCCAAACCCTGGTTTTGCACAAACAGGAGTAGATATAAGATTTGCATATAAAACAGGCTGAGTCTTAAATTTGCAGCGATCATGGGCCATTATTTATATTATGAGGTCAGAAGTACCACTGTTAAGGGAGTATGAGCATTCCCTCAGTGTCTAGATGGCTGCCTAACCTTCTGCCTCAAACTGTGCAGAAATACCCAGAAACAGAAGGAAAGCATGGGCCAGGTGCACAAACCAGGTCCAAAATCATTCAGACTCCCTGCTTTGTAGAGAAGGCTCCTGGGAAAGCCAGGCTGCCGCCCACTGAACTCCATCCTGAACCCCGGTGGGTGAGCCAGCAGGTTTCTCCTCTCGGGGGCGGGGGGTGGGGACACGCAAAGGCTTTGTAAGAAGTGAGCAGCGGTTTCGTTTCTCCGGCTAGCTCCATACCATTTCTTCAGTTAACATAAAGAAGCCCTTTAGGCTATTACTCTGTTTCTGGGTAGGACCTAGCCAAGTTCCTTTCTACATATTCTCACATTTACCCCAAATATTCTCATTTTAATCCCCTGCAATTTGAAACAGGAGCTGGTCTTCATGTTGACCTTGAGAAAGACCAACCTTTTGATGGTGACAGTTAATTACGAGATCTGTTTTTCCCAACCTGAACACCTTCTACTTGTTGAGTTCACTAAGAGCTTTGGGGTTTCTAAAGTGATTGAGGAAGTGCTAATTAAAGAATCCACATTTAATGTTTTCAATGAACCACCACCTATTTGATATTAACCACATCCTTTCACTGGACTGGCAGCAAGATGTGATGAACCAGCAAGAAAGAAGAAGCTATAGTCTAATTTTGATGTGCTCACTAACTTGCTGGGAGACCCTCATCTTCTTCCCAGTGAAGCAGGAAGGATAACTCCTGGGGGTGGTTCTGAGAACCAAACTGGATGAAACAGAGTGAAAATAACGAAAGTATCACATTTGTGAAATATCAAAGGGATGTTTGTGATTTAAGTGAAAGAACATATGGCATACCACACCATGGTTTCCCTTTTTTTGTTCCTTTTAGAATATAAACCACCTGTAATATACTTCTGGCCTTTCGAAAGTGCTTACAGAATGTGAAAAGTCATTTGCCTTCTATCTGTGGAGGCCTTCCATTAGAGGCCTGGACCGAGAAGATTTTTCTCGTACAGATCACCATATGAGTGGGCTTGGACCCACATCTGCTGCATAAGATGATCCCAGGGAAATAGCAGGATTTGGTTGGACACTTTCAAGACATCTTTGGAGAACTGATAGCCTCTTCCCCGGGTGACTTTTGCTGTCACGGGATCCTCTGTCCCTAACAAACAGAGTCTTACAAAGCTGGCTTTTACGTTCACATTGAGAGAGTGCAACCTTTTGATGGCAACAGACAAATTACTCGAACTGCTCTTCCAGCCATGCAGACCACAAATCCAGGAGGTTCTCATGCTAGAGAGCTTTGCTGTGTGGAGCTGGTATATATCCATGGTTAGAAATAGTCTGTTTGAGACACTTTTGCAAGACACAGTCACACAGGTCTTGGTCATAAAGCCAAACTGTTACTTGAAATATTGCTTCCAGGTCAGCAAGTGATCAGATGGTCACAAGCTTGTAATCTCTATCACAGTGTTTCATGAGAAAAGACCCCTTTAAGACATAAATGCCTTTCTAGTGGTTATCCTGGTCCCAGAGGTGGCCTGTTCATTCCGTAGAGACCTTCCATCAGTCTGCTGGTGTCAACACACCAGCCCGCCATACTTTTTATCTACTAGTCTCTTTCTTTTAGTTGAAGTGGTCTTGCCAGACCTGTTGGAAGCAGCCAAGGCAGAACTGTAATCCAAGACTCTGAGAAGAGCTAGGTCTTTAGACCAGTGCCTGGGGGCTGACTGCGGCCGGTGCCTCATCCACTCACCACTGAAACCAACAATGGAAGGGTGATCCACCTCCTTGTAAAGATTCTGAACAGCAGCGTGGGTGGGAGGGGTGTGGAAACGGTCCCTCAGAAAACCCAGGTTTGACTACGATCCCTCCTAAGAAGTCAGTGAACATCAAATACAGAACAGGCTCCTGTTCTCTTCAGTTTTGTGGGTCCTACTGTGAGTCTTGAGCAGCCTTCCCTGGTGAGAAATATTGGAGGTGCTGGTCTTTCAGATCAATTCGCTCATACGAATTGATGTTTTGTAAAATTCCCAGAGGCATACTTCATTAGTAACTCCAAATGACATGGGAAGGAGCTTCATCCTGCTGGGCTCAGGTACGGAACATACTGGGGTAAACACATGATGTCACCTTGGAGGTATGGGGCAGGGTGCCAACATAAGACCCCAGCAGTGCAAGCTCCGCTGAAGGCTAAGATCCTAAAACCTTCTCGGTCCGTTCTACAGTATTGCAAACCACATCACAGGGAATAAACTGTTCCCGCTGACATTCTTTGAGACCACGGAAGCTGAGAGGTAGTTCTAGGGCTGAGATGTTCAAATTACTAGAAAATGTCATTCTTGGTACCCATGTGCACTCATTTGCAGAAGGTGAAAAGAGCAGGACAAAAGTAACTTTAGGAAAGCAGATCTGTGTATAGCCAGAAAATACACATTTCTACTGGTTGATCTCTGTGTTTTAACCCTTTGCATTCTTGGAAGCATGAAGAAATCCTAACCAAAAAGTCCTCAGAACTTCCTGATTAAACAATCATCGGCTGAAAGTAAGACTTGTAAATTGTGACTGTCTAGGGTTGGCTTCATTAAACTGGGAAGAGGAGTGGTATACAGAGCAGAGTAACAGTAGACTGTCAACACAGAACCAAATTCATATTTTCCTACATCAGAATCTTCCAAATTCACCACTAGTGAAAATGCTCCCATTTTCATAAGCTTACTTCCTGGATCTGGAAACATAGTATCAGTTGAAATCTGGTCTTCAATTCCGGTCCTAAGGGGGTTATTGCTGTCTTTGGCACAGAATCAACACCTAAGCGCAAAGACCCAGTAAACAGAACCGTGCAAATCTGACCAACCTCACAAAAGTCAAAAAGGTAAGTCTAAAAATATAAAGTGACACTTCACCCTTCATGGTGCTAAATACCTCAGGCATGCACTTTCAAGACTCCAAGGAATGCTTGGGCAAAATGAGCCCGGGCCCGAAAAATAGTTTAGAATTTGGATTTTCATTCTGTGTTAATAGAGATCTTCAAGAAGATACAAATGCCTATATGGGTACCTGTATCCCTGTAACTATTTTTCCGTACAGGTAAATAGCTTCAGTTTTACTCTAAGGTAAATGAGAGGTGACTTTGAAAAAATATAACTAAAAAACGTAATTCTAGCTATTTCTAATTTCATCCTCTGTTAATCTCTGCAACATATTTAGATGAACACGTTCAGAAACAGGATGGTTCAGCTTGGTCTATTTTTGATACAAGCAGAGTAAACTATGTCATTGTGTCACCTTCTATGAAATCCTCAGCTTCAATGACGTGGGCACTTAATCATCTGTCCTTTACCCAACAGGCCAGACTGGGAGGTGGGAAGCCTTTCTGTTGACTAATCAAAATGCCTGCGCTCCCCCTCCCCCAAGCACCCAGGGGAGGGAACTGATACAGAGAGCTCTGAATACCGAAGCCAGATTCTGAATTGAAAACTGCCACCAAGACACAAGAGCAGAGAGATAAAGAGAAAAAGGAAAAATAAAAAGAGGCAACCAAATAGAGAGCAGGGAGCGAATGACCGTACCTTGGCCACAGCCTTGCCATCGGAGTTGTTGTTGGAATCTTTAACACCACTGAACGAATCTCTTCTCTGTGGGCATGGTTTCTTTTTGCGTGGTCTGCCTTTAAGATTTGGCGCTGAAAACAAACGAAGAACAAACTGATGTACACTTTCATTTGCATGGGTTTCCTTATTAAAGACCAAGAATGTTAACAGAGTGGTGCCCTCTAACCTGTTCGGAGGAGCGCACCCATGTGTGGAAGCCAACCCTCACGTTATGCCCCCTTCTCTGAAGGGCTGCGTCCTGGTAGACTCTACAGTTCTTCCCAAAGCTAACATGTTTAATTAGTATAAATAAAATGAAGCTCTCGGCTCTCAAGGACAATGATCAGGAAAATGCACTTCCCTACTGTTAGAAAAGAAACATGTTGAGCTGAAGGACAACTCTAAGCCAGGCTCTGAGATGATTCCTTTTGTTTTGTATCTGGTTTTCAGAAACCTAGGTGATATGCCAGCCCATTACAGTATCATAGTAATGTAGCATTTGAAAGCCTCTCGCCTCAAAAGTGGAGACATGAGTGTTTTCTGAAATTATGATCCAAATAAGCTGATTGGATACAAATAAGTAGAGAGAGAGAACAGAAAGAACATTCATCATAACAATCGGAAAGATATTCTTACGGGTATTTACTAATAATATTGCGACCAGCATGTTTTAAATCGCAGCAAATCTGGCAGCTACATTCAAATCAGCATGCTCTCTTTTCCTTTTCAAGAGAGTTTTTATGAAGATCTCGAGGGTTATTTAAAATAACTTGCAAAGATCACACTGAGGTTGGCCTGATTCCGTGAAGATTATACTTTTTTAAAGCCACAGACAAGATGCAAATCAAAGTTCTATTTCATCCTTGATGTTGAGCTCGAATCCCTTTAAGATCCACAGAGAAAGCAGCAAAAAGAGGGCTGCTATTTATCTAGTGCTCCAACTGTCCAGCATCAGCTTTCACATTGAGCTCCATCAGTCACCCAAGCCGAGCAAAATTAAAACAAACCACTAACCGAACAGCCCTTGAACAATTCCAAACAAATGAATTATCCCCCAAGCAGTTTTCTTCCAGCCCTTTCGAGGCACCCACACTTTTTTTTTATTGCTTTAAGGTAGGATGATGACAGCACCAATTCTGAACAACTAGAACGCTGTTAATTGTTGTTCAACTTCCTGACATCACACAGTTAACCAGGGGTTTTAGGACATTTGATATTGTACTCATCTCATCCACATAACGAGTCCCACTCATTTGATTTTTCTACTGTGGATAACAGCTCTGCTGTTGGGAAAGCTCAGGAAAGCAGAGCTAGCTCCTTTACAGTCCGGCAAAAGTTTAAAAGTGGCTTGTGGGGCTCAGGCTCCCCCTCCTAAACCCGTTCTCCTCTCCTTTCCCCCCCTCCCCAGAGGAGCGTCCAGAAGTCCATCCCCCAAAGCCAGCCTGGAATTATCACAGGTAAACAAACTCACAGACAAACATCAAGCAAAGAGAAAGTAGCGATTACCCATTCCAGTCGACAAACATCTGCCTGAGGATGTCTGTGCTCATGAAAGCTACAGCATGTGACTCCTTCCCGGCCCCGTCCCTGGAAGTCTTGACTTGGTGTGGATGTCAGCTTCCCTCCCAACGCGAACGCGAACGCGAATGTGAATGCGAGCTGCCAGGCTCCGCGCTCTGCTTACAACTCCCCTCCCCCGGCAGCTCCATTACTCACGTAAACACACAGCAGTGACTAGCACGGAGTGTGTGGGATGAGCTCTGAGGACTTTGCCGGAGTTGCCAGACTGGCAGGGAGGGCTCTGCTCCCCTCCCCCCCCCCCCCCCCCCCTGCGCGGGGTTGGTGATTTCATCGGGCCTGTTTTGTGGATCCAGACCTCCTTCTCCTCTGTCACAGCCTCATGCCACCACCTTCCATGAACTGACCCGGGCTTCAGCCTGGAGCCAGGGCGTGGACTATTTTGGTTTGAAGACTCTGGTTAGCACAGAAGTGTTTCCACCACGGACCCAAGTGCTAAGACTTTAATGAGCGTGAGGGAAGGATGTACTTTCATGTCCCTTATCAAAATAATAGCTGAGCAGAAAGCTGACAGAAAGGGAGCCTGACATGGGGTAGGTCTGAGACATTTCACGAAAAAGAAACAAAACAGTATCGCCTCTGTTCTCAGACTTGTTAACTATGATCTCTCCTTCCTCACATTTTGGCAAAAAAACACTTAAACTAAAAGCATTTCTTTCCAGAAAGCTTTCAAATCCCAAAGGCCTTTTAGATAGAACTTGTACTGAACAGGCTGTTTTAAATACAGGCAAAGGTTCCGGGAACCGACAATAGGTCATCCTCAAATCGGGTCTATTTTCTCCATTCTTTGAGCTGTTTTCAGAACCCAGAGAAGGACATGCCCTTCCCCAGCAGATTCTGAGAATTTTAAATTTAGAACAGGCTAGCACCTAATATTCTGGTCACGCAAACTTAAACTCCAAATGGGACCTGATCAAGAGAAAAAAGCCTTTTGTTCCTAATGAGGCAAGTCGCTGACATTTCAGGTAGGCTAGGCAAATCCCACCAATGGCTCAAGCCTCAGACTCAGGTACCTCTCTTCTCATTTCTCCTCTGCTCTCCTTTCCTGGCTTTCTCTTCTGGAAGGTACCACGGTCTTCGTGGTACTTTAGCTGTGGTTGATGGGTTATTATCCTCAGTTGGAGGGTCCTTCAGGGCAGGACCATGTGGGATTCATCTGTCACCTGCCCAGCACACACCCAGGAGATGGCATTACATGATATCAGCCTGGTGAATGAATAAGTGACGGATGAAACTAAAGATGCCCACATGTACCTCCTTCAAGTCTTCACGAGCCAAGCCCGCCAACCTGCCCCTGTGTGTACCTGTCACACCCGGCACCTGTAAAACTGCCTTCACCTTCTCTATTTACACTTGAGCTCTGGGAACGTAACCCAGCGACTTCCAAGTTTGCTCTGAGAATTGAGACAAAAAAACCTAAGGCCCTTGGTTCCTGATGACCGTTAAGCCTTTGTGTCTGGCACTCGGAAGGACTGTGATCTTCTTGTCTCCAATGTCCCAGTGCCCTGAAGAGCAGATGTTCAAAGTCCCAGGGAGAATGGAGCCTGCAGGACTAGGGGGCGTGGGTAGCCCCCATAATACAATCTGAAACCTCTGGGATCTGTAAGACCCCAGGCAAAGCTTTGGGATTGAGGGGCTGGCTTTTTGCGGGGGAGTAAAAATTCTGGTTCCCAGGCTACTTTTTGTTCTTACAGAGTCAAGAGAACAAATCATTTGCCAGGCGGGTGAGTGAAAACAAATGCTTTATGGTGTGGTGGTGGTCAGGGGTGTGGGAAGCTGGCAGCATGCTTGTTGAGAACACAACTGGCTTGAGTCAGTTCCACTACCAAAAAAAAAAAAAATGTGTGAAGCAATAAATGCACGGTGACTTTTACATGTGTATATAATCCACAGCCCAGCTCTGGCCTGGCTCATTCACGGAGTTCAGTCAACGCTCTTTACATGAATGTTTTCAATATTACACACGAATAATAATAATAGCTGCTATTTACTGAGCACTTTCTCTGTGCCAGTCAGCACTCTGCATACAATAACTATTTTAAAACTCGCAGCAAACCAACAGGAAGTTGAGATTATTATCCCCATTTTCCAGACCAGGAAACTGAGACAGAGATGAAATTACTTGCCTTAGGTCATGCAACTGGTTACAGGTAGCAGAAGGATTCCAACCCAGGCCGCTGGACTTTATCCAGAGTCCCTGTTTTAAGTAATTTCTGACAGACAGACACTGGCCCTCATTCTGTCTCATAATGAGATATTTATATGATTAACTTGGGCTTGCGGGCACCAGGGAGCTTCCCCCAAACACCACATAGCACAAGGGTGCTAGAGTCCATCTCAGGCAGCCAACGGCATCCTACAGACCTGACATGGAGCAGGGTCCCCATCGACCTGACTCAGCAGCAGGTAAAAGGCTTCCACTAAAGCCACACAGGTCTAATAAAACCTAGAGCGCCGTGCACATTCCCCCTTTGCAGTGGGCCACTGATTCTTCTGCCTAAACAGTGAAAGATCTCTGTGGTTTTTAAAAAATCTTTCCTCTCTGAGTGCCCATCTGTTCCTCTTACTCAGCGTCATGAAATTAACAAGTACGCACCTCTGTGAAGTCACTACTATTTCCATCGGCGGTAATCCCAGGAGCATCAGTGACCGCCAGTGCTCCGGGCTACTTTGACATCTGACCTGTGTGTTTTGTTTTTTCCTTTTCTTAACTCCGTCAAACATTAATAAAATAGGGGTTTTTTTTTTTTTTTTTTTTTTTAGGCAACATAAGCAAAACAAGGTTTTTGGGTTTCTTTTCTTAAAGTGTCTAGAAACTCAGAGTTTTCAGGCATTCATTTATATATTCCCTTCACTATGGGTTCTGACAAGTTATGTGTCAAGGCAGCGCAGGTGTGGGAAACTTTCGGCTCAACCCCAGCTCTTGAAATAATAATAATAAAACAAAGGAAATGTAACCAGTTACTGGCAAAGTAAATTGCTTTTGGCTTAAACGTTCCTGTTTTTTTCTACTGTGTTCTTCCTGTCATGACCGTCTCTCTTTTTTTATAACATTTATGCTCTTGGAAATACCACGAAGATAAACTGCTATAAAAGCGGGATTGACTCATCAGTTAACAACTCTTTCTTCTCATTTTGCAGAGAGGATTTTGTTGCCAAAGCAGCTCCATATTCTCTCGAGAAATTCTTTGTGAGCTTCCACTTAGAGATAGGCCTTGCTTGTTGGTGGGGACTGCAATTAGGGGGATGGAAAACCAGGCTTCATTTTCCTAAGAGTTTGACCCCCAGGGTCAATATCTAGAGGAAGTTGGCAGAGCGTTAACTCACTTGATTTGCAAGTTGTGCGTGCGTGCATGCATGTGTGTGTGTATGTGTGGGTTTTAAACACTAAACACAAGCCAGAAAACTAAACTCCCCTGACTGATGTATTAGGGACTGACAAACATCGTTCCTTGTATAGTACGCATTTCTGATAATACTTTGCATTTCTGTAAGGCCTTTCCTCTGAAGATCTCAATTCTCTGATCTATTTTCTTTATAGACAATAATCTTAAAATACTCTGGCAAGTTTCAGCATGGAGCATTGCTCTTGCTGGAAAAAAAATACCCTAATTTAGTTATCATTTACTGTGTTCTATTTTCAATGTTTCCCTTTTGACTATTTAGAAACTTCCTCTTTCACTAGAACAAAAATAGGATGAGTGTTTTTAAAGTTATTAATGTATGAGTAAAAGATCTAGTAACCAAGCATGGAAGAAGGCTTGATCAAAGCCACTCCTGAAATTTATGGGTGTAATAAAAGAAAGGCATTTCACAGATAATCTCTTACAGAATTTCAGTTTTCAAATACTTGGGAAAAAAGAAAAACAGAAGCTCTCAGCCCTCATTTTGGCTTTAACTTAAAGTCAACATTTTTATTTTAAAAATTCATAAAATGATTCCCTAAAATATGTATTTCAAATCCGCAGCTATCTTCCCTACACTCACTACTCCACACCTAAGAGGGCGGTGTCAGGAAGCGGCAGCGGCCGCCGGCAGTGCTCAAAGTCTGTTAACTGGTTGAATCTTTCTGTGAATGCGCAAAGCATTCAGGACACACAGACTTTAACACTTTTCAAGTTTACTTTTATTCTGTTTTCCCATACACAACCTTCTACACCCAACAGGAATGTTTGGGAGGCAACTGTGTTGTCTGAGACACGAGCCCCCGGGGCCATCAACGCACCCGACTCCATCTTGTGGGCCGTTCCAACGTTAAATGCTGACTTGACAGCCAGAGGCAGGAGGTAAGGCAAACAACAAACAAAAGCCACTGCAAGAGTGTTATCATTCTCCACAATTGTTCTGACGGTTCCCTTTTCCAGGGTAATTTTTTTTTTCTCAAATCAAGGCATGAAGGAGAAGAGTTCAGAGGCAGGAACCGAGGCCTGAGCCAGCCGCAAAATGCCCTCACTCTTGGCTGCCCTGAGCGTTGCCCATCGTGTGTGCCCCAGAGCACCCATCACACTGCCCGCCACCCTGGATGTCGTGGCCACCATGAGTGTCCATGTTGGCCTTAGCCCCCAGCTCTCCCCTGGTGCTGTGTGGACCACCATGCCCATAACCACAATTTAGCATTTCCAATGAACTACACTCTCCCAGAACCCAGGTTCCCTCCCACCTCCTGTGCAGGGTGAGCAGTTGTGTGGTTAGAAAGAGGGCAGGGGGGAAGAAAATGAAGCAGGCTTTACACGAGGTCCAGCCACTTTGGCTGTTTGTCAGCATCGCTGAGATCCCCACGAGTCACTAATGAGAGTGGAATGTCTTAGTGCGTCTGTCATACCTGGACTGCCCAGGCAGCTTAAGTCCAAAACAGCCGTGGACTTCATTGACTGCTCAACAAACCATGTAAGTAAACACTCTTGTAATCCCTTCCAAAACAGGTCCAGTCTTACTCACTCTTTGTTTCATACTTGTGAATGCTGGAGCAATTGTTAATGCTCCTGATCAAAGTTTTAGTAATTTCATAGGCATGTGATTTGCATAGCTATTTCCTGACCCGCCTTCTCTCTGCCCCCGGAGGTCTTCATTTCTCAGAAACACTTAAAAACACAGATAATTTGACTTCTCCCCTTCCCCCACCCTATAAATGGAACTCGATTTGCTAGCTCATCTGTATTGCTAATTGGTTTGAAAGCATGTGACTCCACGCGTTCTTGCCATTAAAACACATGCAAACCTTTTTTTTAGTCAGGTTTTACCAGCAGTGACAGGCAGATTTCTCTTTATTTCCCCTCTGTGTCTTGAGGAGGGAGAGAAATTTAAATGACCAAATGTTATCTATATATTATTCCGAAACAATGTAGTGAATTCCAAAGGAATGCAGAAATGTTCTAGAAGTGTATAACAGGCTTGTCTACAAGGGCGCTGGCAAAGAAGAAGGGGATTAGGGACACTTTTCACTACCATTTAGAGAATGAGGGGAAAATCTGGGCATTAAATCTAGGTGCAGAGTGAGGAGAGTCTGGGTTTTCAGGAGACTGACTCTCTAAGGAGAGAATTCTGGAAATAGGGAAGGAGATTGAAATCCGTGCCCAAACTTTCAAACCCTCAGCTTCCCTTTGGTTTGTCCTGGCTACTCACATATCCATCAGGGGACCCATTCTCAGGGAAAGGTCCCCTTCAGGATCCCTGAAAGGGACTGAAGTGGTGGCCCGCAGCTCTTTCACAAATGCTTACTTGTCTTTGAGGTGATGAGGTGTCCGTACCATGGCATCAGGAGCCGGTAGAAGACGCTTTTGCCTTAAAAGTCCAAATTTTACAATTCTGTAAAGAAACATCAGGGCGGAGTGGATACCTGAGGACTTAGCTTGGTGCACAGACTACATTGGCCATTTGGTCCACGTGTTACCGCTGCAAATAAAGGGTCAGATTTCCTTCCCCAGCCGCAAGGTCTTGTCATGAAGTTGCAAACTCAGCAAAACCAAAAATGGTCTTTTTCAAAATGCCATAGGGGCTCAACCTTCTACCCGGCAACTCATTTCTCCTGCTATTCTTCTCACTGGATGCCAGGTACCCAGGGTCCATTTTCAGGCCCTGGGGCTCAGGCTCCACTCTTAGTGGAGAAGATCATGCTGGACGTTGAGGAAAAAAACTGCATGAAAGCTATTAACAATTAGATTAAGTGCATTGTTTCAATGTTTACTGTGTAGTTCTTCTTAAGATTTTGAAATAACTTGTGTTTCCATTTTTTGAAAACTATTCAATAAACACAGATTTAGTCTCTCTTGGTATGATTGTCTGGAATAAGAATAGAATATTAATTTAAGATACTTGGTTTTTTTTTTTAATTTAGGCTATTTTAAGGATCCAGTCTGAAAATGCTTTTTAAGGACATTTTGATGTCTCTAATTTATGAAGTTTATAAAGATAGGACCTCTTAAACACAGAAGATTTTTGCCTCTCTTTTTTTCTTTTTGTTGCAATCAAAAATCCTGCTCATCTAGTCCATGATTGATGTGTTCTGTGGTGTTACTATTGAACAGGACAGCACAGAAGTGAAAGTTAACATTTTTTGTGCTGAATAGCCTTGCAAGGAGCAGCAAATATCAGAACAGTTTTTAAACTCATATAAACAGAACATTCTTGTTCAGCCATTTCTCCAGGTTTGGAAATGAGATATTCCATTTTCAACATTGAGGATAATTGATTTGCTACATCTCTAAAGAAAACATTCCCTACTTGGAAAAAGTAAAAGAGACATTTGTGTGTGTGTGTGTGTGTGTGTGTGTGTGTGTGTGTGTGTGT